TTGAATTAATATTCTTTTTCGCATTACTGTATTTGATCCAAATTAAATTCAATGATATAATAAAAAGTAATATATTGTTATAATGTATTTTGCTTATAACTTGTACCATTCTATACGATAATATGCATAAAAATAATGTCAAAAGAAAACAAGAGGAGCACTAAATAAAGAGATTATTGTTAAATATCACAAACAAAGCAAATGATAAGATAATTACATAATAACAGAGCTTACATGTATTAATGCATAGTCTTTGTGGGTTTTTCAAATTCTTGCCATTTCTCTAACTTACACTTCCTTTTATGGAAATCGTTACACCCGTTCAATAGCGTGAAATCGAGCTGTGAAATCGAGCGACTTCCATTATAAAAGTAAGTGCATTTTAATGCGATAAAATAGTTGAAATTTCAAGGAATTGTTCTTCTTCGCGAGCTTCATACACGTAGAAAATAAAAGGAATCGTAAAAGGACGTAGTAAGATAATAAAGTAATATTTAATCGAAATGGTTAATGGACTAAATATATTTCCCGATCCAAATATATATAGTATATGTATAATTATAGTATATTTAATTGTAATGTAATTATATATATATATATATATATATATATATATATATAATTACATTACAATTAAATATTACTTTATTATCTTATCTTTATTATTTTGTGACTGCCATATTATATATGATACATTCATAAATTGTTAATACTAAAAGTTAAATATTCTATGTATTATATATATATATATATATATATATATATATATGATATGATATGATAGATATATATAAAATAATCTATACTATTTTATATATTTCCAAGCATTTCTGAACGATATCGTGCAATCTAATATTCCCAATAATTTAAGTTATTTTTGTCATTCAATTCAAACACTTCACGAGATAAATGTGAATACTATCAATATATATACGCGTATATCGCAAAAAATTAATGCATTTTACATGCAAATTATAAAATCTGGCCAACAGCAATATAAAACGAGAGAAAGTCAAAAGATGCATATCTTATCGAAAAAAGTGAGTATTTTTTATTATAATATGAAACGAACAACATCAGATAAAAAAAATAAAAAGATATAAAATAAAAAATCTTAAAAATTTTATAAGCTCTTAAAATGAGAGAGAAAGAGAGAAGAGAGAGAACTTTTTATATATTATAAATATTATTCTATTATTTATTTCTTATAAAAATACTATGTATATGTGTGTGTGTATGTGTGTGTGCATAAAATAGAATACATAGTAAAACAAAATAAGAGATTGCAAATAACAAGAATTTGACTCAAGTATATAATAATTGTAACTTGATAGTTCAATTTCATTCAAATAAAAGAAAATAATTTTTAATAAAGTTTAATAGATCTCGCAGTAAAAGTAAAATTTTTAATAAATCTTAATAAATCTCGCGGATAGTGATCGGTCCGTGTATCGTTGTATTATTACGACGTTGTATTATTAAAAATTTTTTAAGAAACGATTGCGATCATTTGAAATGAAGCACCAAGAAAATATATAATTATATATAATTATTCTATACTACTTAATATAACTAAATATTATTCTATACTACTTAATATAACTAAATCTATTATATAAAAATTTTAACTATTATAAGTCAGCGCATTTATTTAACTTTCAATATTAACAATTTATAAATATATTAAAGTAATAGCTATTTGTTTAAATAAATATAATAAATAGATATTGTATGTTTTCATTTGAAATAAAAATCGAAGCAATTGGAAAATAGAAATTTTAATTTATGTACAGTGATATTTATGTGGATGACAATTATTTCTATAATGACTTATTAACTCGAATATCTTACAACGAGCTTTAAATGTTTCTTGTCAACATGTAATTTATCACCGATTATCGACCGATGAGTGATAAATTTTATTTTACAATAAAAAAACATTGTCAAGTATATATATATATATATATATATATATATATATATATATATGTCTAATTTTTATTTTTTAATTTCTATATGTTATATGCAAATTTAATACGTACGTATTTTTTTAAATATTTAATGTGTTATTTTACATTTTTTAAAAAGATTTTATATTAATATATTTTTATCATGAATTTGTACATAGTAATACATTATCTTCGGGAACGTATATCAACGTATATAAATTTTAATCAGGAAATATGTCTAATATATATCAGCCACACAGAGTACTTTTATTTTTATAAACTTACAATTAGCATAAAAAAAAGAAAAATCCAAATACTTTTTAAACATGCCTTTTTAAAGGCATCAATTCTCTCTTGTTCTGAATTTTTTTCATACGTAAAATAAATAATTATTTTTTTCTTTTTTATAAATAATTATAATAATTTTTCTTTTTTAGCAGTCAATTATATGTTAGCTATTATAAATAAGCTTGTCACATAAATATAAAAAAATCAGCTCTTTCGCCAGACCTGCAAATGCCTATTGAACTCCTGCCAATTAATTAGTCATACGAGTACGAGTAGAATGCATCCTATATAATGAACAGCGACACGAGCATGCTAATTGATCGATCGTAGAGATTTCCGCGTTCAACAGACAAACGACGAAGTCCAGGACGGTGGTCAGTGATCCCTCTTCACTTGATGCCCCTCCTTCACCCACCCTTTCAAACGCGTCCTTTGTTCAGACCGGTTTACACCAGACCAAAAGCCAAACGCTTCAATGGTGTTGTGCTTAATTAATACGAGATTCCTTTCAACGAATGAAGGACTTAATCCAGAAACAGACGGCGTTTTCGTCGGATGATCATTTCGACAAATAGAGTCAAACAGTACCAACTGATTTGTTTGGCAGAGAGCCGGTGACTGTCATCAGAGTAATGCGAACAACGATGTGACAACAGATCCTATGCCATGGCAGGCGAAACAGGAGTTGCGGGTAAACCGGAGGTTAATGCTGCGGTATCGCGCCTTCCGATTGAAGCACGAGATTTCCGATATTCGTGCGCGATATGCTTTAATTTATTAATATTAGCGACAAGTTTATGAACGTTTCGTGACAAAAGAATATAAATTAAAAAAGAAGAACGCAAAAACATTTTTAACGTTTAAAAAGTTTTATGACGATTTTATCGTGATAAAGGCAAAATGGCAAAGCTCCGATTGCTATTGATGTTTCAATATTTAATGTAATCGGGTAAAAATAATTCGAACGAATAAATCTTTGAATAAACATCTCAAATATTCTATCATACCTTTTTTACTACTTTCAGATTTGTCATTAATTATTTACGAAATTGGTCACACAATTTCCGATAAAATTGCTAAAATTAAACTGGATTTTATGTACAATTCATGTATTAAAAAATTCCTCGCGATTTTTTCACTACTGTTGCTATATGAATAATAAAATATTACAAGACATTGTCATGTAAAAATAATCATGTTTGGCATAGTATTTGATCTAATACGAATATTATCTGACTTAGCCATCCGCCCACAACGTGAGCATGATATCACAATAGTGACACTAGCAACGAGGGTTGGCTATGCACGCAACGAATAATACATGCAATACTACACGCACGTGATTGTAACAGAATGCAGTGCGTGACCAGCAAGCAGGCCGAGCTTGTAATAGGCAGAGACTGGACTTGTGAACCAGTGTCGTATGCCGCCAGTAATTTCGCTCAAAAGGCACGATTCTGAACTAATGAACGCGGAATTCACCTTTGTATAAATACCTATGCAATCTAGTTTCCATACATTTTTCCCATGTGCGTGTGATTATGTATTCATAATTACGAAAAATTAACATGCATTGTTCATTGATATAATGTTTCGCTTTCAATTCTTGAGTCGCGAATAAATATGAGCTCCGTCGAATAAAACAATAATATGACAATAAAAAAAATAGTGTGCGTGCGACATCCATCAATATTTTCATACATCAAATTATTTTACAATAATATAAAATTAGAACATATATATATATATATATGTATATCATTTATATTATCTTTAATGATTTTATCTTTAATATTCTAATCACTGACGAATAATTTTGTTACATTTTTCAATTTAACACTCTTCTTAATTTAACGTTCTATAAACTTTCTATTTGTAATACACAAAATTAACTTCTATTTCTCAGAATACACAATAATATAATTTTGTGCAATAAAATGGTAGACAAAATATAGTAAAGTAGGTTAAGTAAAGTAATATTATTAACGACATCGAAGTTTATTCTTCTCGCATTAATGCCGTAGAAATATTTGATGAAAGCTAACTCTAATACTGTCTCTCCCCGGTATATAGAGTTCCAAAGAAAACGATTTGTCTAAAGTAGCATGCGCACACATCCTAAGTGTTTCTCTTATGGCTGATAAACGCCAACGTTGATTATAGCAAAAACAAGTCTATCTTAAAACAACAGTCTCTCTCTCTCCCTCTCTTTCTCTCTCTCTATCTCTCTCTCTCTTTCTCTCGCTCCATCAGGCAACAAACACTTCAAATTTTATCCGTCATGATCATAGTCATAATAAGATTAGGCTAATTATGTTTATACACTTACGAAAATCGGATCAGCTAAACTCTATTCGCGCACATGAGGCAGTTACGTGACGAGTGGACTCTACTAATCTTGTTGTTTAGTTTGGTTTAGGGTGAATTTGCCATTATGCTATGAACTATGTAACGCCTAAGTACATGTACACGAGAATATGCTATTGAATATTAATTAACTGTAAACAAACGATCAAACAAAATCACGGAATAACGAGCGATTGACTAAAGCGTGTGCAACGTGATGCAAATGATATATAGTTTGCCATTTAGCTGAGAAAAACATAACTAACAATGATTTTAAATACGAGTCGCCGATTCGGATCGGATATAACTCATACTGGCATTTCTTACTTGAAATTATATTTTAAAATTTTTTAATCTTAAAATCATTAAAAAATAGATCGCATTTATTTCTCAGACGTTTCGTATATCGTCACTTACCGCTTCCGTGTGCACAGGATGCGTGGCAAATAGCAATCCAGCGAGAGCCGCAAATCCTGGCCGAAGTGCCGCTACCACGAGACTCACTCTGGTGACCAAGATGCACGCACCGGCATGTAAGGCGACGTTTGTGGCGTGATACCACATGGGACTCAAGCCTGCCATCAAGTAATTCAACCTGAAATCAATTAAAACAGAATTCGTCTGAAAATATCTGAAAATATTTCGACTTAATATAAAAAAATTGAGTTGTGTTAGTTGCGATAAAGATGAATGACAAATCAAAAAGTGGATAATTAAGATAATTAGAATTAGAAAAAAGCAATGAACAATCGGAAATAATGTCAAATATATTCTGAAAATAATTGAAATTTATATAGAAGATAACAGATATCTGGATATAAATGTAAATGATGTTTTCATCAAAAATAATGGAGATTGAATAATGGAGATTATAAATTCACATATTCCCTTCCTATTAAATTAAGATAGAACAGCTAATTATGTATGTGTATCCTGTACGCAAAAATATTATAATATTATTCATAAATAAGACGAAAACGTTGCACCGAAAATAGTTTCTGTATGCCATTCTGTGATGCCTACATGAAACAATCCTTACTCGTAAAAAACGAGATAAATTTCATTGTTACAAAGAAACACAGAAAGATAAATCCTGTCATCTTTTTGTTTATAAGTACAATGGATTTCAAACACGGGCGTGACGTAGTTTCCACGAAAATCCGCTTAAGTCGGCCAGAGTAATCGGATTTTAGAAAACCATTCCGACCATTTTCCTTTCGCCGCAACTAACCGAGGAATGCCGTTTTCTTTGAGGAGATTAAAGTAACTGACATATATATATATATATATATATTTGCCCGTTAACAAAAATAATATCGACATATCATATACGCGCGCGAGATTATTGAAACATCTTTCATGGCGTTCATTCTCAGTTCACTAATCGCTGAAAAATCATTCGCCATTGCAAACAGTAGGCGCGATCAAAATAAGACGGAATGAAAAATAGTATATGGATCGTCGTGCCGACATCGAGATGAAAACAAACATCGTAGTTGCTGACGCAGCCGGGCTATAATTTTGGAAGCCTGCCGGCGGCATAAGTTCGACGCCCCCGGAGGGGACCTGCACTTGGCCCGTTTCCAAGTGTCAAGGATCATGATTGTCGGAGGCGTATCCTGTCTCTTCCTTGGCCCTAGATCAAGCAAGAAGCTCGCATACGTCGATCGCAGTGCAGCGCGCAAATTTCACTGCGAAGTTTCTAGTTAGACCGCTAACTATTGTATATTGTACATTAATATATTTTTATTTTTTATTATGTCTGAATTAAAAAACGTGGCGGTGCAAACTTATTTTGCGAAATAATACACTTGCAATTTGAATTAGGAGTCCATTCTCCCATTCCATTTAAAAGTCGACATACAAGTCATATTTTCGCACTTATACCTATTTATTGTACTAAATTTATTGTGTTTCTTTGCCGCATCCTCAGTTCACAAATTTCTGATTCGAATTTCTGATTCATGATTCAAATTACAGAATATGAGGATTGCATGCTTAGATGCTTCTTGTTTGTTCTAACTGGTTTCTCCAAGCACAACGGCGTGCACATGCATTCATGTTACGGAATGAAGTACCTTGAATTGTTGCAGTATCACACTTGGATATTAAACAAGTATTGATTCAGTCTCGCTGTTGATATGCGATTAAATATATCAAGACAGTTACATGTGGAGGTACTCTTCGGCGTTGAACATTGATATTCATACCTCGACTAGATTGTAATTATTTTAATTGCTAGTATATGTCTCGGAGCTAAAAACAGAGGAGATTAATCGTTGTATATTATAAATGTCTCAATCTTCAGTTTCATTCTTCTTCGCTCTCTTTGCGAATAATCATTTATATTTTTCCCCTGAGGAATTCTCTGTAACACAATTTGTCTTCGTCGGCGCAACTTTCTACGCGAATTTCTTCTTATATCTTTTATTCATGTCATCATTGAAACTCGCCCAAACGCACAAAAGAGAGAGAAAGAATTTGGTCAGGAAAATAATTACAGACTCTCTTTGTCCACGTGCAAATAGCAAAAACTGTTGCTTTCAATATTTTATTCTATGCGATAAAAATTTGTGTATCTGTATTATTTATATACGAGAAGTAATATATAGCAATATATATAAAAGCATAAATATAATACTGTATACTAATGTTATTAATAGTATATAAAAAATATCTATCGATATCACACACATTGCGTTATATTATAAATTATTATAATTCAGAAATAAATTGTGAAAATTTAATTTTCCCAATTCGGATAGTGAAAAGAAAAACCTCGTAGAAAACCTTAATTTATCTGAAAATGATAGAAAAAAAGCTTTTGTCTCAAAGATGAAAAATCTATTTGCACGACATTTAAATCGTATCTATTAAATTGATTCATTTTTAAGTATTTAATCGTCTTTGTTCCTACACAATATTTCTTCGAAAAGATGCAAGAAAAAACTGATTTAGCTGTCCCCAGTTTTCTACCATGTCACTTTTAATTATTACAGATAAGTTATATTTTTATCATTATCATTACATGAATATTTTATCATTATCATTACATGATGTTATCATAATAATAATTGATATGTTTTATCATCGCGTATTATGCGCGAAACATACAACATGCTGATCATAATCTTTTACATTATTCTTCTAATTCGTTTGTTGAAACAATGAAAAATATAAAATAGCACTGTGCATACAAAAGCACTGTATTTGCGCGCTTGGCCCAGAAATGATAGTTATTCCTTTAAAAAATATTTTATATACGGTAATTGGAGTGTACTTTGCATTTTCGTGCTGAAATAACACTGATGACACAACCATCAAAAGTTTCAAAACAGAAGTGTAGTATGATAAAGTAGAGCAGCTGCTCGTATCAGACCGCAGCGGGACCTGATACTAACTGTCTGACCACAGCTACGCTCTTACTACTGGCTAACCACGACCGGTTCTATTACTACTGTTTGACCACACCGGCCCGTAACTACTGGCCAGCCGCAGAGAGCGATCAATACTTATTCCCGCTGTTCCGTCATTATCACTTTTGCGTTTGCGTTCCGGAACAAAACGAACGACTCTCGCACCAGTTAAATGAAGAGCTTTAATCTCAGGAAGAACCTCTAAAATCAGACATTCGTTTCTCTCTTGAATAACCGTACTTCTGTGAAAATGTCGCCTCGTGCGTAAAGACTCGTACTATCGCGCAAACTATCGCGTGGCATAGATCAACATCTTGAAAAGAGAATCTTGGCAGAATTCCGTTACGTAATTAACTAATGAAATTTAGCCGGTCGTGGGCCATAAAGATGATACACTGGGCAAGCCTTTCAAGGATTCTCGACGTTCGGCCTCTTCAAAAGATTCTTTTAAAGACGTCGCATAAAAACTCGAAAGATCGGCCCCTTCGTAACGAGGTATTAAACTCTTGAACGATGTCGTTAAATCACGTTGACTTAGTTGACTATCCGTTCCACGTTACGTAGTCGAAAATCAACCTCGTTTCGTCTATTCATCTTGTTAGCAACCTCTTCCGCTTCAAGAAAGAAGGTTCTGGGAAGTTGCCCGTATATTACGAAAAATGTTATCGGTATTCATCGGAATTAAGGTGCAAGATATATCAACACGGAAAAAAAGATAAAATATGATTATCTTTATATCGCACGACAGAGATATATATTTTAAGATCTTTTCTTAAACGCTTTTCTATAGAATAGAAAACATTCCTCTACCTTTTCTCATGGAATGTCAAAGTAACGCACGATACCGCAGAGGAAACATTTTCGCGCGATTTTCCTTGACAGTGATGTACGTATTTCGAATCTCGTTTCCTTTTCGATGGCATTGAGTTTCAGCTCTGGTGAGGACTATCGTTTGCAGCCACAAGACAAAGGCACGATGATAGAGCATCATAGAACGCCATTCAGGCTCAATCGTGCGCGGAATATAGCAGCCAAGATACCGATTTCGACTCTCCAGTGCTGCTTCAGTGATTTAAGGGACTGGCTAACCCGTACTTCCAGTCACGTTCCTCCCGGCCAAGTGTCCAACGAAATAAATCACGGATACGTCGGGACTTCGATCTCTGTTGTTCACGTAAAGAAATTTAGACACGTCGGAAGGCACCGATCGATATCCGTAAAATATTGCCCGTTCTCTTATGTTCAAAAAATAAAAACATATTTGCGCCGTCTTAAAACTTTTATAAATACGAGTTTTTCTATTCGCTATTTGTAATTCTCTTCTTTATTGTATTTCTCGTTTTCCATTTTAATTATTTACAACAAAATTATGATAGTTGTGCAAATGTAATATGGCAATTTGCCAGATTGCAATCGCAGATTGGCAAGATTGTCATCGACAAGATTAATTATTCGATATCTTTGACCTTCTATTTCTCAACCTTCCTTTTTCATTCTTACGATCCGTTTAGCCACGCAGTCAGATCTGATAATACTATGAATTACGGCCGTTTATACGCCTTGAGTGGCGCCATATATCAACCGACGGGCCTCATTCCTTTTCTAGATTGTATATTGGAAAATATGGTGTGTCCATGTCGAACATGATAAAGGACTTTCCGAGGAAGGCCATGCAGCAGGCACCTAGCTAATATCATGTAATCATTAAGCCACACATCCCTATCCAGATTGCGCCTCAAAATTACGATATCGATCGAGGTCACTCCACAATCGATTTCTCGGGTATAATTAAATTATTTTACGTACAAGGGATAACATAATTTTTAATTTGTATGTAGACAGTATAACGAAATTCACACAAATTTTATATTAAGCTTATTAAAAGAAAAAAAGACAATATGCAATTTTTATTATTATTGTAAACAGTTATATTAAAAAAGATTTATCTCACAGCAGGCATATACACAAAAAAATGAAAACAATAGTAGAATAACTGTTGGTTGGCAATACAATTCTAAACAGCGATTGGATAGTTTTAGGGGGTAATTCGAATGGTTTCAGAGATAATTTGGAATCATGCCACCAGTCATTTGGTGTGCGACGTGGCTGATTTCGCTAAGCAAAAATCCAACTTACGCCTCGTTTCCAATCTCTTGTGGTCCGTTGGGAAATATCGAGA